CCAACCAGTAATGTTTTATTTTTCTCTTCAGGGATGATGGATTTCAGCCTCTTTGGAATGTCTTATGTAAGCTAACAAGTCATTAACTTATATTCAATTATCCTGATGCTGTACATGATGTTACAGGATTCCAATCAGATCATTCTCAATATTTCAGACAGGAGCTGATATCTGTGGCTTCTTCTACGACGCAGAGTATGAGATGTGCCTTCGCTGGACGCAGCTGGGTGCATTTTATCCATATTCCAGGAATCACAACCAGAAAGGAACCAGGGTGAGATGCAACTCTTTAGTGGGTATTAACAGCACCACACGTGCAAAGAGCTGCCAGAACAAGGCACATGATGGCCTGGCTCCAAAAATAATTTTAAAAAAAAAATAATTATGTTCCAATGAAATGGACAAGAAAAGAACACATTTGGCTTTTTGTCAAGTAAAAATTGGCATTATTTATATACTTTCTTTCCTGTAAACCTCCCCCTTACCTGGGAGGTTTTGTGCCCACAGAGGGGCTGCCCTGGGACTGGGATCACTGGAAGGAAGCCCATTCTAACTTTGCTTTGACTGAACCAAACTCCTGCACCTTTCCCTCTCTGTACCATTTTGATTTGAATGGTCCACATCCAGACTAAAACACGGCTTTGATGGCAAACACACTTCGAGGAGCAAAACTGGCCTTGGTGCTCTCAGCCCTAATTGCCCATCATTACCCAACAAATGAGAAAATGCAGCAGTGTAATCAGATCTGGAGTCAGACTGGGAAATGTCTGTGCTTTGCACATTTGCCACCATCAGATATTGTATTTCTGTTAAAAGGAAAGGGAAATAATTGCCTAAATGTAGGTCTGTGCTGGCTAAGGACTAGGGTGGAGAAAGCTGTAAAACAAGATAACTGGGAAAAGAAAAAAAGTGGAACCAGCACTTCTATTCCAGTTAAAGCTTCAGGTCTAGGAGAGCAGAGCTATTTATGTGGAATATATCTAATGGATTAGAGTCTCCTTTTCAAACCCCCTGGGCTTTATCTCGCAGTGACACACCTTTGGATAGGCCTGTTAAAGCCTTAAAAATGCAGATTCAGGGTTATCATGTTGCTCCCAGTCTTACCCAATTTGCCAGGGTATTGTTCACTCCATTTAATAAAGATTGGAAGTGCTCCCTGACATCAGTCCTTGGTGCTTGGTGTCTCCTTGCAAGTCCAGAGAGCTGCCCTGTGGAAGAGAGGGCTGATAAATTCTGTGCACTGGGATGTGTCACACCTTGGGGACACTTTGCATTAAACATTCTTTATAGTATTCCCCTCAGCTTCCCTCTTAGGGCTGACGGTGATTCCCACTGTTTTTAGTGTCACTTGCTCTGTATTTAAGAAGAAAAATAAATGAAAGTGCTTGTGTTTGTTGGAGAAATATCCTTGGATTTATCTTACTATGTTGATTTTTTTTTTTTTTTAAAGCCGTTCCCACCAGAAAATCCAGCTTCACTCACAATGGTCTCTTCTCTTCCAGAGGCAAGATCCTGTTTCCTGGAATGCAACATTTGTGGAGATTTCCAAGAACGTGCTGAATGTCAGATACACCCTGTTGCCTTATCTCTACACACTATTGCATGATGCCCATGCCAGTGGTAGCACTGTGATCCGGCCTCTATTCCACGAGTAAGTGCAACTCCTCTGCTCCCCTTATCAGGAATTCCCATCAAAACTTCCCTAGTTAAGATCCACCCCCAAATTTTCTCTTAATTTCAGCATTTTTCTCTTAAAAAAAAAAAAAAAAAAGCCAAAAAACTCCAAAACAAACCAAGTCTTGCAGGAACACCGAGTTGTTTGCATGGGGTGACCTGAATTTCTCCAAAGCAAACTGTCTAAGAAAATAGTGGCACAAATCAAAAAGTACTTCCCTGTCTGTCCGTGATGTCTGTCCGTGATTATTGTTGCAAATACCAACCAGGCACAACAGACCTTCAGAGTTTTGTTGCCTAAATATACCGAAAAGCAAAAGCAAAGAAATGGGAAAAAAAAAAAAAAAAAAGCAGAGGTAAAAAAGCAAGGCTAACTTGCATTTCTCTAATGAGTCTCACATTAGGATCTTTATGAGTTCCTGGCAACCATTAATCGATCTATGAATTATTAATACTAAAATAAAGGTGAGGAAACGGCAGAGAGTAGGAAGGGGAGGTCCAATTACTGACAAAAATGCCTTAAAGGAGGAACACTCTGGAAAAGTTCACCTCTCAATGTTTAATCGTGACAGGTTTGTGACAGACAAAAACACCTGGGACGTGTATGAGCAGTTCCTCTGGGGACCTGCCCTGCTCATCAGCCCCGTGCTGCAACAGGTGGGTTTTATTTGAAGCGCTTATGAAAATATCAAAGCTTCCCTTTTTTGACTCAAGGTGCCTAAAACGTGTGTGTTTAATTCCAGAATGCTGTAACAGTGAGGGCTTACCTGCCCAGTGCCCGCTGGTACGATTACTACACGGTAAGTCACTTAAAAATTGTATTTTATGTCTTCTTCCCAGTGGTGGGGAGGTGGGAACTCTCTCTTGCTTAGTTTGCAT